CGTGATTTGTTACTCCAGAGAACACGTCTCCACTGTTCTAGAGTACAGTGGCAGCATGACAGACAAACGAAACCGGTGCTCCAATCCTCATGCAGACTTAAAAAATATCAGGATGGCAGACGAAGACGTGCTGCTCTTCAAAGATCGGGAAATCTGACCACTGGTGAAAAAGAACAGACAAGGGCGCACTCTCATCGTGCATTACCGTGGTATACCACGTGTTTATTAAAAAGACAAATGGATGTATACTCACAAACCAACAATATTAAAAGCAGTGTAAGTGGTCCACAAAAACAGTCACAAAGATATTGTGTCCTTGATGAGGATAAGCTGACGCGTTTTGGGAGCTAAACCCCCTTCCTCAGAGCTAAAAATATACCTACTGGCCACAAGCCTATATACCAACGAAATGTCAAAAGGAGGGTGAAAAGGCCCTCCCACCCACCCCCAGAGGCCCAATCCCAGAGCACACACAAAAAAAAAAAAACAATCAAAACTACATGTAATGAACAGCAACCTGTAAAATGCATAAAGTACACGCAGATTTTTATAAATAAAATGTGCTGGAGGTGTACTTGCATTTACCCCCAAGGAAAGTAGTCCTGACCTTTAATGGACGGACACTAACCCAATGGAAACTGCCTCCAGTGTGAAAAAGCCAAGATGCTGCATGGAATGCATGTAGGGTAGTGTGTGGACATTGTTAATATTATTCCATGAACAAGTATATGACACTATAAGATAACCTGGGAATAGGTGAAAAAATGGAACCAGCGTGGAGTACAAACACCCCGCCATGCTGGTAAACAAAGACATGACAGGCACCATGCTGCGTGTGCGATGCGGCCAATCGGCACATGCGTGCCACGTCACACACGGACCGTGCACTCGCGCCATACCACACATGAACAGCGCGCACGCGCTGTGCCTAAACACGGACCGCACATGCGCCAGGGAGCCGAGCCGCCCGACACTGATCAAAGATACGTGTCGTCCAGGGGATAAAAAGAAAGAAAGGGAAGTGTGACACCCTGAGTGGCGCTGGAAAAGCGCCACTAACAAATGATGAATAATGAATGAATAAATAAAGTAAATGGATATATATATATATATATATATATATATATATATATAAAATCCATACAAAAGCTAGACACATGAAGAATAAATGTATGTATGTGTATATATATATATATATATATATATATATATATATATATATATATATATATGGAGGGAATGTACATATCGAATGAGAGAAAGAAAGAGTAAAAGAAAACTCTATACAAATAACCATAACTAAATATAATAAAAAATTTTGTAAGAAAAGGAGAAAAAAGACAATTAGAAATGATCTATTTTTTATCTTTTGTCCATCAATAAAGGCTGGAATAATGTGTAAAAAAGTCACCAAGGATGAGACAAAAACGAAAAAGGGACCAGATATAACAGCGAACCTAACAATCGCAGTTAGTTAAGAGGAGACTAAACCAAGGATTGTACATCAAGGGCATCATTGAGGCCCTTAGGCAACAACGTGTCTAATTTATGAATCCAATAGGACTCTCGTTGGCAGAGTTTTCGAAATCTTCTACCTGTATCAATATCTCCTTGTATATTCTCAATGCCAAATACCTTGAGACCCACAGGGTTTTCGTCATGTTTTTCACTAAAGTGACAAGGCACAGTGTGTTTGTCAAACCCATGTAATATATTGCGTTTATGCTCCCCGAAACGGGTCCTCAATAAACGTGTGGTGTGACCCACATACAACAGTCCACATGGGCAAACCAGACCGTAAACAACAAACTGTGTGCCGCAGTTGATGAGCTGACTGATAGGATGGACCCTTCCATCAGTGCCCATGAAATCCCTTTTTCTATGCCACATAAAAGGGCAAGCTCCACAATTGGGCACCCCACACTTGTAACTACCTTTCTGGTCAAAGATGGTATTCCGTACACAAATGGACCGTGTTTTAGTGGATTTGACCCTACTGGGAGCAATCATGCTCCTCAGATCCCGTGGACGTCGGAAGATGACTTCAGGCCGAAAAGGCAGGTGTGCAGAAAGGTGTGGGTCTTAGGCCAAGATGCCCCAATATTTATTCAATATCCTCTGAATATTGAAAGCCGTCTGATTAAATCTCGTGCAAAAAGCAGCATGGTATGTTTCCCTATTGGTATTGGGAGTATTTGCCTTCAATGCAACATGAGAATCAACAGATGAAATGTCTGTCTCAGAATAAAATGACCTATATTTATGGTATGCCTCCTCGATATTTGTGGCTGCATAACCCTTTTCTAGAAATTTTTTCTTCAAAAGCATACTTTGAGTGTCATAATCTTCTAAAAGGGTGCATGTTCTCCTTAATCTGCAAAATTGCCCAAAAGGGACATTCTTAATCCATCTGGGATGGTGGTGACTCTTAGCATGTAAGTATCCATTCCTTGGGGGTAAATGTAAGTACACCTCCAGCACATTTTATTTATAACAATCTGCATGTACTTTATGCATATTACAGGTTGCTGTTCATTACATGTAGTTTCGATAGTTTTTTTTTTTTTGGTGTGCTCTGTGATTGGGCCGCTGGGGGGTGGGTGGGAGGGCCTTTTCACCCTCCTTTTGAGATTTTGTTGGTATATAGGCTTGTGGCCAGTAGGTATATTTTTAGCTCTGAGGAAGGGGGTTTAGCTCCCGAAACGCGTCAGTTATCCTTATCAAGGACACAAAATCTTTGTGTCTGCTTTTGGGGACCACTTACACTGCTTTTAATATCGTTGGTTTGTGAGTATACATCCATTTGTCTTTTTAATAAACACGTGGTATACCACAGTAATGCACGATGACAGTGGCAGCATGCCTTACACCACTGCATCAAATGCTTTGCATTGCACTTGGTGATGTAAGGCTTGGATGCAGCTGCTCGTCCATGGAAACCCATTCCATAAAGCTCTCTACGCACTGTTGTTGTGCTAATTTAAAGGCCACATGAAGTGTGGAGGTCTTTAGCTATTGACTCTGCAGAGAGTTGGCGACTTCTGCACACTGTGCTCTTCAGCATGCGCTGACCCTGCTCTGTCATATTACGTGGTCTACCACTTCGTGGCTGAGTTACTGTTGTTCCCCGTTGCCTCCACTTTGTTAGAATACTACTAATAGTTGGCCTTGGAATATTTAGTAGCAAGGAAATTTAATGGATGGACTATCACGGTACCACACTTGAATACACTAAGCTCCTGAGAGCGACCCATTCTTTCACAAATGTTTGTAGAAGCAGTCTGCATGCATAGGTGCTTGATTTTATACATCTGTGACATTGGAGGTGATTGGAACACCTGAATCCAATGATTTGGAGGGGTGTCCCAATACTTTTGGAAATATAGTGTATGTATGTATATACAGGTGAAACTTGAAAAATTACAATATTGTGCAAAAGTTCATTTATTTCAGTAATGCAACTTAAAAGGTGAAACTAATATATGAGATAAACTCATTACATGAAAAGCAAGGTAGTTCAAGCCGTGATTTGTCATAATTGTGATGATTATGGCTTACAGCTCAGAAAACCCCAAATCCACAATCTCAGAAAATTAGAATATTCTATGCAATAAATAAAACAAGGATTGTAAATAAACCAATATCGGACCTCTGAAAAGTATAAGCATGCATATGTACTCAGTAAAAGCTCGTCTACGGAAGGAAGCATGAAGTGCTCCAAAATCTCCTGGTAGATGGCTGCGTTGACCCTGGACTTAATGAAGCACAGTGGACCAACACCAGCAGATGACATGGCTCCCCAAATCAACACAGACTGTGGAAACTTTACACTGGACTTCAAGCATCTTGCAGTGTGTGCCTCTCCATTCTTCCTCCATACTCTGGGTCCTTGGTTTCCAAATGAGATGCAAAAGTTGCTCTCATCAGAAAAGAGGACTTTGGACCACTGAGCAACAGCCAGGTCTGTTTTTCTTTAGCCCAGGTAAGACGCTTCTGACGTTGTTTCTTGTTCAGAAGTGGCTTGACAAGAGGAATACAACATTTGAAGCCCATGTCCAGGATCCATCTGTGTGTCGTGGCTCTTGATGCACTGACTCCAGCCTCAGTCCACTCCTTGTGAAAGTCCCCAACACTTTTGAATGGCTTTTTCCTGACAATCCTCTCCAGGCTGCGGTCATCCCTGCTGCTTGTGCACCTTTTTCTTCCACACTTTTCCCTTCCACATAACTTTCTATTAATGTGCTTTGATACAGCACTTTGGGAAAATCCAACTTCTTTTGCAATTACCTTTTGAGGCTTTCCCTCCAGAACCAGACTTAGAGACCATTTAAAGGCTCAGGAACCCTTTGCAGGTGTTATGGCTTAATTAGCTGATTAGAGTGGGACACTTTGAGCCTAGAATATAGAATATTGCACCTTTTCACAATTTCTCAAATTTTCTGAGATTTGGGGTTTTCATGAGCTGTAAGCCATATCATCACAATTATGACAAATCACGGCTTGAACTATCTTGCTTTGCATGTAATGAGTCTATCTCATATATTAGTTTCACCTTTTAAGTTGCATTACTGAAATAAATAAACTTTTGCACGATATTCTAATTTTTCGAGTTTCACCTGTCCGGTGCTTAGCATAAATGAGTACACACCTTTTGAAAAGTAAGATTTTAATCAATATCTCAATGAACACAAGAACACCTTCCAAAATTTTGAAAAAATTGTGTTTCACAGAACATTTATTAATCTCATTACACGAAAGTAAGGTTAATAATATAACTTACATATAAGGTTACAAAATGTTCAGTTTTACTCAAATTAGTTGATGCAAAAATGAATACACCCCACAACAAAAACTACTCCATCTAGTATTTTGTATGATCTCCATGATTTGTAAGGACAGCACTAAGTCTTCTAGGCATGGAATGAACAAGTTGGTGACATATTGCACATCAATCTTTTTCCATTCTTCAAGAATGACCTCTTTTAGGCTACGTTCACACTAGTGCATGATAACCAAGGGCATGGAGTGATGATGGCATCTTCTCTTTCAATATAGAGCAGTACATCTGTGAATTCATTATTCGATCAATGAAATGCAGCTCCTCGACATCAGCAGCACTCATGCAGCCCCACAGGACACTGCGCCCACCATGTTTCACCATGCTTCACCATGCATTTTTCTTTGTACACCTCACCTTTGTGACACCATACAGTTTTGAAGCCATCAGTTCCAAAAACACTTATATTGGTCTCATCACTCCAGAGTATAGAGTCCCAGTAGTCTTCTTCTTTTTCAGCATGGGCCCTGGCAAATTCTGGGTGGGCTTTTTTGCGCATGGGTTTTAGGAGAGGCTTCCTTTGTGGACAACACCCATGCACGCCATTCCTCTGCAATGTATGCTGTACTGTGTAACGGGAAGCAATCACCCCAGTTTGGCTTTCTACTTTGTTAGCTAATTGTAGTGAACTTGCATGGCAATTTTCTTCAACTCTTTGCATCAGAAGACACTGCTGTCGAGGTGTTAACTTCTGTGGTCGGCCTGGATGTCTCTGTGAGATGGTTGCAGTTCTATCTTTGTAAAATTTTTGTATCACTTTTGTTACAGTATTCTGACTGATATGTAAAGCTTTGCTGATCATCTTGTAGACCTCACCTTTCTTGTATAAAGAAATTATTTTCTTTCTCAGGCCTTGTGACATTTCTCTTCCATGTGGTGCCATTGCTGACAGCATGAAATGGGAAGGGGTTTTCTTTGTTAAGTAACACTCTTTTATAATCAACTGTCTGCTGGACACCTGTTTAATCAATAATTAGACTCACCTGTAGTTGACTTCTTGTTCATTACGATTTTCATTAGGTTGTATTCATTTTTGCAACATGGTCTTGAATGCATTTGTTAGAAGAAATACTTTTTTGTGTGTGCAAATTAACAAATCTTGGTCCACATTTGTGGGAGTATTTTGTAGTATAGTGTCCCATAGAAAATGTTGATTCTGAACGGAAAGTAAAGATTTTCTGACAAATCTTTTGGGGTGTACTCATTTACGCTGAGCACTGTATATATGTATAAATATCAGACTCCATGGATCCCTTGGTCTTTTTTCTGCCCTCTCTCTTCTGTGTTTCTATGTTTCAAAGCTGGGCATTTCAAGGGGCAATTATACAATACCTGGCTCCCTGGTAGCCCTGCACAGGGCTTTAAACACGTTATCTCTCACAGATTTCAATCTACCATAATGTTGTATATAATTCCTTTAAACAGCAGATCCATGGACAGTTTTATTAATGGGTATTCAATTTCTAAATGCTTATTAACTTTACAATACTGTTATTAAAACTACCCTGTGGTTACTTTAAAAACTAAGATAGTGCCACCTTCTATAAGATGAAGGTTAATACTTACCTGTCCAGTAGGTGGTGTGTCAATCTTTGCACTTTTGTGCCTCTTTAGCTGCTACTGCTATCCAAAACTTCACGGTTTGTTGGATACAAGAGTGTCAGATAGCAGTCTCAATTCCTGCCAACTACTATGTTACCTCCAGGGGTGAGCTCAGCTATGTCACGAAGCTGTCACTGCATACCGCCAATCATAAGTGGCCAAGGCATTCCACACTCAACAGCAGCACCATGCATCTAAGGGGCATGGTTACGTGCAGCTGCAAGAATGTCTCGAACGCTTATGATTGGCGTTGTGTAGTGACAACTACCTGGCTGTCGGGGTGGGGGGGGGGGGGGAATCAGACTAGGAACTAAACACACCTAAGCTTTATCCCTGGTAGTAACATAGTGGTTGGTGGGAAAAACCACTACTACCTAACACTCCTGTGTTGTCACACTGACACATAGGCTTCTGGTGGAGATTACCATTGTCCATTTAAATACACATTACACAGACATGGTTGACTATTGTCAACACCAGGAGATCCAACCTGAGAAACGACATTCAGTCACCGTTTAGAGTATATGCATGTGGACATGAAGTGACTGCAAAGAGGCCGTGAAAGATTTTTAAAAAGGCAATTGTTTATGTGACGAGAGGCCTGACATGATTTCTTACTCTGAACAAACTCTTTACGTTCATCGTCTAGATGTGTTTGAAATGGTTTTAGTATTTGGAATGTATCACTAAATAAAAAAGAGTGATAGGCTGTGAGCGCCCTGGGCTTTGTTTTCTTGGATTGTTGTATTTGGCTGCTTACTTACTAGGAGCATCAGCTGGTGTGCTTTCACAGAGGGCAGAAGAATGGGATCTCCAAGGACAAACTCTTTAATTTGCACAAGTCTGAACTATCTCCAGAGTTAATAATGGTGAGTGCCATCTATTTTACTTGCATTGTGGTCCTCTAAATTAAGGTGGCTGTAAACCCCTACCTATACCCAGTGAAGTGACTGGCCTCAGCTGATACACTGAAGTGAAACAAATCCTCCCACATAAGTTGTAACTGTTTATTTGCAGCCATTTGTCCTGTACATCCTTGTAAAAATCAGAGCTAAAAAGGATTTTTCACAGACTCACAAAGCAGGGGGGCGCTAGCTGCAGTTACACACTATACAAGAGTTCTGGTTGCTGATTAGAGGGAAGGGACACTCCCCCTTCACACAGGAACAGAGCTATGACTGTCAATCAGCTAGCTGTCCCTCCCCAGTCACCTTTTTAGCTCTTGGTGTCAGGAAAACTTGTCAAAAGTGAAAAAGTGATTCATGCTGATAACAGTGGAATGAGGCAGCAGAGAAACATGACACTTAGTGCTTGGGAGAGAGGTAGGTAAACATTTATAGAAATATGTGCTTTAATCAAATTTCATCTCTGACATTTACAACCACTTTAAGTACTTTCTGAAAATGAGTAAGAATGCCTTCACCAAATCAGACTTCCTATGTAAACTTGTTCTAGGTCATTGACTCAGAAAATATTGTAGCCAGAGGATCAGCATGGCATCCAAGCAATTATAAAGCTAGGTCAGCAATTACAGTTTCAACATTTCTCTCAATGCAGATTTTGTTTAAGGAGAATTCAATGGGTTTTAGCACACAGTTGTAATATTTGATGCCTGTAATTCACTGTAGTCGTAACCATTAAAAAGATGCATGTTAAATGTGATCCACTATACGGTACTTGTATGCTTTTAACTACCTGCAGTTGAGGCTCCCCCTTAGTGCGTACATTTTTTTTCTGCATGTTGGTAGGCAAGCATTGCAAAGTTCTGCATGTTGGTAGGCAAGCATTGCAAAGTTCTGCATGTTGGTAGGCAAGCATTGCAAAGTTCCTCCACCACCAGTATTTATAATTTTCATAACTCTCAAAAGGACAGCGATCAAGGGATTCAAGCCTAGTGACAACAATAAATTAGACCCTGGTGCGTAATTCATCATACAGTTGCAAGAAAAAGTATGTATGTAATTGCACATAACATGTAAACATTCACAGTGCAGGGAGGAAAAAGTATGTGAACCTTTGGACTTAATAACTGGTTGACCCTCCTTTGGCAGCAATAACCTCAACCAAACGCTTCCTGTAGTTGCAGATCAGACCTGCACAACGATCTGGAGTAATTTTGGACCACTCCTCTTCACAAAACTGTTTCAGTGTAGCAATATTCTTGGGATGTCTGGCGTGGATCGCTCTCTTAAGGTCTTGCCACAGCATTTCAATCGGGTTGAGGTCCGGACTCTGACTGGGCCACTCCAGAAGGCGTATTCTGTGCTGTTGCAGCCATTGTTTTGTTGAATTACTTGTATGCTTTGGGTCATTGTCCTGTTGCATCACCCATCCTCTGCGGAGCTTCAGTTGGCGGACAGATGGTCGTACGTTTTCCTGCAAAATGTCTTGATAAACTCTGGAATTCATTTTCCCATCAATGACAACAATCCGTCCAGGCCTTGAGGCAGCAAAGCAGCCCCAAACCATGATGCTCCCTCCGCCATGTTTTACAGTGGGGATGAGGTTTTGATGTTGGTGTGCTGTGCCTTTTTTTCTCCACACATAGTGTTATGTGTTCTTCCCAAACAACTCAATCTTGGTTTCATCTGTCCACAGTATATTTTGCCAGTAGTGCTGTGGAACATCCAGGTGCTCTTTTGCAAACTTCAAAAGTGCTGCAATATTCTTTTTGGACAGCAATGGCTTCCTCCGTGGTGTCCTCCCATGTACTCCATTCTTGTTTAATGTTTTCCTTATTGTAGATGTGTCAACAAAAATGTTAGCATGTGCCAGAGATTTCTGTAGGTCTTTAGCTGACACTCTGGGATTCTTCTTTACCTCATGCAGCATTCTGCGCTGTGCTCTTGCAGTCATTTTTACAGGACGACCACACCTAGGGAGAGTGGCAACAGTGCTAAACTTTCTCCATTTGTAGACAGTCTTACCGTGGACACATGAACATCAAGGCTTTTGGAGATACTTTTGTAACCCTTTCCAGCTTCATGCAAGTCAACAATTCTTGATCGTAGGTCTTCTGAGAGCTCTTTTCTGTGAGGCATGGTTCACATCAGACAGTGCTTCTTGAAACCAGTAAACCCAAAACAGGTGTGTGTTTTTTAAGGGCAGGACAGCTGTCAGCAACACATCCAATATCATCACACTGATTGGAGTCAAGGTTGGCTCACTCCTGGCTCCAATTAGCTCTGGGAGAAGTCATTAAGCTAGGGCCTCACATACATTTTCCTCCCTGCACTGTGAATGTTTACATGTTATGTGCAATTAAACCATGGCAACATCTAATGTTTGTGTAGTATTATGTTCAGCAGACTGTGTTCTTCTATTGTTGTGACTTAGATGACGTTCAGAGCACATTTTATGCCCAATTCATGCAAAACTCCACGTAATCCCAAGCGGTTCACATACTTTTTCTTGCAACTGTATATCTCCATTCATGTTTATGGAATATAGGCACATTACACTGGCACATTCTAGAGCTGGTTTAACTGCGGGTAAACAATACTGATCAGACAAGATCTCTCGGGATAATTTTGGCTGGTGGTGCCTGCAGGTGCCTATGGACACAAGTAGATCTCCTATTCCTAAGGCATAATATAAGCTAATCTGCTGCTGAAGTTGTGTTTGTAAACGCTTTTTTATCACAGTAATCTGTTACACTTACTGTCTTGCCATTGCTTTTTCTTCTTTCTCATTTTTGGCAAAAGTCTGCCACAAAAGAAATAGAGAAACTGTAAGAAATCTACTAATTTCTTTTAGGAACAGATAATTTACAGACTGCAAATCCTTTCCTGTTTATAGCTAGATAGACACTATATTAATTCTATCTAAATGACCAATCACCAGCACAGCGCTGTGAATGATTCCACACTTGGCTATCAGTGGCTGCCTGTACCAGAATGCTGCTGAGGTTCAGGATTCAAGCAATTATGTGCCTTTCCGCTGGGAAGCCATAGTGGGTGGATCATCACTAATGAGACCGGTGCTCTGCTATTGATGGACTGATACACTGTGACTCAGAGTGCTATTGAAATAGATTTAGCTACTGTTGCCACACAGTGG